GCCTTGCTTGCCAGAGTTCGAGCTGGTTTTCTTGGCCTGACACAAGTGCGGGTCACTGCCATCATCCACAAGGTCTTCTGGATGAGACGCTGCTTCGATTGTAGCCTGCTGCTGCGGAGCCACCCAGGCATTCGCGTCGTCAACAATTCTAATGCCCGCGATGTGCTTCACACAACCAGACTGCAAAAGGGAGACTAGCCCTGCGTATTGGGCCTCAACATGGGACACTGCCCCGACCTGCTTGTATCGCTTCAGCTGTGAATCGCTGCGGCCGTAGGATTGGAAACCAGCAACGGTTCCATCAGCTTGGTTGAAATAGCTGTAGGTTTGCCTTGGATTTGGGAGTGGCCGCCACCGGCTACACACTGACTGTGTTCTGACTTTGGTACTTGATGAATCGGAATAAAATGCGATTCATTACATTCAGATTCAGTTCAGTTATCGAGTTATCGGCTATCGGCTATCGACTATCGAAGTTATCGGCCAAAACACGTCCTTTGGGTCGCAGCGCTGTTTCTTCCGCAAGCCCACCTGCTAAAAGCGACACGGGCAATGTTGTGGTTCAAGGAGCTGGCCAGGCTCTGAATGCTAGCGGCTTCGCGCACCTGCTTTGCAGCTAGACCGTTCGAGACTGAGACGCCATGCTTCTTGCCACGCGAATAGTTCTTGCCAAGCTGAATGGCAGCTGGAATGACATCAGCCTGCCCCTGATTCCCCTCATCCTACCGGCGCGCAGTGCAATAAGACTTGAAGCTCCTCTCTTCTATCTATTTATCTATCTACCTAATCTACTCTATTCACGGTTTGAAAGTTGGTTGAATCATAGAAACATAACATAACATAACTTCACAAACTGTTTTGAAACATGTGTTATCACAAAGTCACCGGCAAAGAAAGAAACAAAGGTGGTGTCCTCCGTGCCGTCATGAAGTCCAGGTCCAGGCCCACCTTCCACATTGCTGGACACTGGCGCAGTATCAGGCTGCACGGCCCTCCTGTTCCGCCGCCTGCCCTCGAATCACTCGCGTAAATGGCGCGCATGCCACACGAAAATGATCCACCCCCTGCAACGGCTCAGAACATTGGTTTGAGCACAGCTAACAGCCTCCGGTAAGGCGCAAATGACTTGCCAATGGTTCGACATGAAAAAACGCCGATAACTTATCTATCATAAACTTGAGCTCACTCACTTCGGTCGACAACTTTCGGGCGGTAGCCAGCCTGGTAAACCGCACTGGCAGGGGTGGAGGAAGCGCGCTTTGCTGCTC